ATCAATTAAAATTCTAACAAACCGATATATTATTCATTTATATATATATATTGATTTCATTTTTATTGTATATACCATTAATTATATTTAATATCTAACTAAATCTAATCAGTAATAGTATAAATAGATATCTATTGATAGGTTTAATATTTTAAAGGGCTCTCATTGGTGTACGTTATTATCGAATAGTGTAGTTTCATTTCAAGTTATCTTACGATCTAATATCGCATAAAATCTCTCATGGTGGGATGATCGAAGCTTTTTACAGAACAGAACGGAACCGAACCGAATGATACGGAATAGAACGGAATAGAACGGAACGGAAGAACAGCCCGAGGGCCTAAAGCTTCCAAAGGGAGACCGCTAAGGTCTCTGCTGACCGATACTGCTGTTTGAGAAGCAACCCTTGCCCGAGGGTGCCACTGTGGTTTGAGTAAACACAGGGCGAACGTTATCGAAGGGAATGGATAGGTCGTTCGTTCGTAACCTATCGTTCTATGGGTACCTATGATCACGCGTGCTACGCAAATAAGAGGGGAATTTCTAATATCGTTGGACGTGATGCGTGTATCTTCTCTCTGTCTCTTAAAACGACACGCGTATGTCTCTCTTCTGTTACAAACGCGAACATATTAATTGTTTCTTATTTTTTTTTGTTTCTAAAATTTACTTTGTCAAATTACAAAGAGAAAATGTTATAGAAAATTAACCCTTTTCTACTGTTATTTACTTTGTCTCATATTCTTAGAAGAAGAAGAAGAAGAGGAAGAAGAAGAAGAAGAATACGATAAATTACCGCATAATTCGAATTTCTACAGCACGAATTCCTATAACGCGTTGAAGATATTTCAAATATTTCAACAACGTGCTGTAACAATAAAATGTTGCAATATATATTACATTTACAAATGATATTTGCTTTAATTTAGCATCCAATTGTTATTCATTCCACGTTGGTAATTATATTTACTTCCTAATTGTTTTACTTTACATTTTATATATCGCGTTAATATCAAGAATAATTAACCCGACAAAAGATGAATTTTCTCAATTATTTATATCCAATACACAAAGAGTATTCTCGTTTCAAATTATTGGAAATATAATTTCTCGATGATGGGTGAATACAATTTTTCATAAAAAAAAAAAAAAAAACAACGCGATCTCTCGTTAAATGCGAATTCATAGAACGCGTTAGGTACGAGCCACGTTAATAAAATAATCTA